GCTAGGCAAATATGACAGCTCAGCAGCATGTCTATAAGTAGTATATGGTACTTTTTGTAAAAATATCTTTTTTCTTGTACTTTTCTTTCTAGAGATTTTTCAGAGCAAAAACCCTAGTTTCTTCATTTCTCATCATCTCTTAGCTATCTTTCACAAAAAGAAGGTAGATTCCCATCCAATCTCGATTATTCGACTCGGATGTTGATCAACCTTCTTCCGAAACTTAATGCTCAAGCTATCATGGAAATGGGTGGCAAAAACCCCTCTTTTGTCAAGGTTAGAGATAGCTAGTTCTGATTTTATGTATTCTTCTTGATCTTTTGTATGTGAACAAGTCTTTGATCAATATAGATGAAGTTATTTTCTATCTTTTGTTATATTTATGATTTGGATTGCTTTACACATGAACTTTTCAAGTCTTGACCTAATTTCTTCATCTATCAACTATACAAACTCTAGACATAGGTTTGAAAGTTGATATTTGCTTTGTATTGATCTTAATGATTATTGTTTCGAGTGTTATTTAGAGAGATCATTTAATGGTCAAAATAATAACATTCATGACATCGCTTTAGAAATGAATGTTTTTGCGAGGATACGCGATTATGTTGCTTAAAACTACGTTCACATATTTGATTGGTTGGATACGTTTAGGAAGGATTAGTGAACCCTAATCTTGACATGCTTTTTATCAAACTAAGACCAAATTTTATTCTGTTTTATTTCTTACAAACTCTTATTACAAAAATAGAAACCATTTTAAAAAACCCCCTTCTTAAATCATTAAACCATTGAACGGCAAGCATCACATATTCTCACCAATCCCTGTGGATACGATAAAACACTTCCGAAAATACTTTTAACAATCATATTGGTTCTGATGTTGAAACATATGATGATTTACCATCTCTTATTATTCCTAGTTTGCACGACCCTGGTCCCAATCCAAACCTTTGTGACTTAACCATCAAATTTCCAAACATATATAGACCTAAAGAACCAAATGTTGGTATGATGCTAAGGAAATTTGAATTAGATTCCAAGAAGCATCTTCATGCTGCTATGCGGACCGGTTTTCAATTAGTGGATAACTACATTCTCCTATTCATTATTTTCCCTCTAACGGTTCCTTTTTCATGCTATATATATGAGACTTTGAGACTTGAAGAAATGCTACTGAACAACAAGAGTGTTTTCTACGTGAAAAACTTTTAACCTTGTGCAAATGTTTTATTTAAGTATTTTCTGTATTTCAGTTGTGAAAATCTGCTTGTCTAAGAAGCACTTTTTAAACACACATCTTTGTATTCAAACTGTTTGTTTGTAGTTTCTTGAGGGGTCAGTTAGGTAAGTATCTTTGAGAAGACAATAAATGTTTGCTTTTATGGTTTGTTAGTCACCAGTTGTTGCTAGTGCATTTGTAATCAGTTAATTATAGTGGATTAATTCCTTGTGTATAAAGCGAAGTCACCTTGGCGGGTGGATTGGATTAGCTTTGATTTTCAAGCGAACCAAGACAAAAATTCTCGTGTCTCTCTCATTGTTCAATCTTTTGATTATTGAGTTTTTGAGTTTGTAAAAACTTTTTTTTTTAAAATCCAATTCAAACCCCCTTGTTATGTTTTTCACACCTTCACACACACACACACACACACACACACACACACACACACACACACACACACACACACACACACACACACACACACATACACACACATACACACACACTCACACACTCACACACACACACACACACACACACTCACACACACACGCACCTCACTTCCCGTCTAAAATTATTTTTCATTCATCTAAGTTGCCTTAGTGTCTTCGAGAGAAAATTTACATGTGAGGAAATTTTATTGGTGTCGTGTTATTGTCATTATACTTAAGAGTGTTATATTCTTAAGAAATAGAATTTGGTTCTTGAGATAATCAGACTTAAAATCTTTGTGTTAGTCTTTATAACTTCATTTAAAAAAAGTTTAATTTGGTACTTGAGATCATCCTGAAAAATTTCTAATCGGATCGTTAGCTTAGCATGGGTAAAAGCTTCCATTTTTGGTTGGGGATACGTCTTTGTAAGATCTCAAGATCGGACTGTATCAAGGTTCATATGTAATAACCTGTAAAATCTCAAGTTTATAGTCAAAATCTATAGAAGATCTTTTGGGAACAAGAGTAGGTCAACGTTCGACAAACGTGAAAAAATCATTGGTGCCATCTATCTAAACCCTTTTTTTTTAATTCCTGCAAATTACATAAATATTTTTATTTCTTGCACTATTCAATTTAATAGGATCTTAAAGAATACAACGTGATTCATTTCTTAAGTAACAAAACTTTAAAATTAATTGCGAATTTTGAATACCATAATTCATCTATCCCTTGTGCTTGAATTTACTTATCCAACAATCTCTCTCTCTCTCTCTCTCTCTCTCTCTCTCTCTCTCTCTCTCTCTCTCTCTCTCTCTCTCTCTCTCTCTCTCTCTCTCTCTCTCTCTCTCTCTCTCTCTCTCTGAAATATGTTACTCATTTTTAATTCAAGTATTATTCATACATTATTTCTTAGTTTTTCTTCATTTGTACTTGTATTTCACTAGTATGCACTACAACAAATAATGTTTTTCATGATAAAACTTTCACCTCAAACATAGAAAACAGAGGTATAAAGCCAAGAGCACTATTTTTTATTATTTAAAAACATAAAAAACAATAAATTCTCTCAGTTTTTTATAACATCGAGGTGAAAAAACAACTCAGTACAAGCTTTGATTCCTAGCTATCGTTGTTTATGATTTTATTTGTTTATAAGTGTAAACAAAATGTTCTAACCCTTCGGTTTTCTATTTAACCGAGGCATAAAATAATAAGATTTTAATATAAAAGTACTCGTTAAACATATTTTTCCCTAATCCTTACTAATATGAAGCCGCCCCAAACTCGCAAGCATCATTCTTTGGGATGAACTGCATGACAGAAAAAATCTTCAATGTTCTTCTATCTTGAACAAAAAAATTTTTTGCCCCTACAATCTATCTCACATAATGGTGATGATGTAGTCGTTAGTCGTTGTTGTATTTTTGGAATAACCCTCAGTTAAATAAGGGAGCTCAACCTTTGAAGAACACTCAGTTGATAGATTGGAAGTGCAAACAATCACTCTTGCTTCAAGTTACACAAAGAAGGGAGCTTAACCAACAAAGAAAGGAGCTTAACTAACAAGGAATGGAGCTTAACCAACAAAGAAAGGAACTTCACCAACAAGGAATGGAGTTTAACCTTTGAACAAAGAAGAGAATGCAACTAAATATTTGTTGTAAACAATTTATTTTAATATTCGGCGTAAACAATGTAATTTCAAAAAAAAAATTATTCACCTCGCTTTTCATCATCACCGAGATGATAGTTAAAAGGAGAAGATAAAAAAACCTCGATTTTATAATAATTATGAGGTGTTTAATAATCATATTTTATTAAAAACACCCGCTAAACAGATTTTACAGAAAGACTAATGTATATGTAGCCACCCCAAAGAGAGGAAATATTTGCCACCGTCCATTTTATTATGAGTTGCTACTACAGATCTCTAGAATGAATTGCAAGTGCAGAAAATATAAATTTTCATTGGAAAATAGATCTTTAGCATCTTGCATGGAACCTAAACATGGAAAATAAAAATTCTCATTGAGAAACAGATTTTACATTGTATTTTTAATATTCTGTGTAAACAATGTAATTTAAAAAAACAACTTATTCACCTCGGTTTTCTTCGTGACCAAGGTGATAATTAAGCGTTTTCTATATGCAATGCCCTTAAACAAATCTTTACCGTCCATTTAATGTTTATCAACGCTCAAGAATCTGCAATTAGTGATCCGCGTGAAACCTAAGAGACACCCATTATAAAACATAATATTAAAATTTCTAACCTAAATGAAGCATGAAGCGCTTGAAACCTAAAGACGTTTGGAAAAATTCTCTATGATGGATTGTAATAGCAGAAAATTATCTGGGTTTAAGGTTCGTTTTCTTAAATATTTATTTGAGCTGAAAGTCATATATTTGAATATTGATTTTAATCATCTTACCATTTTTTTCATCAGAAAAATGCATGTAAGATCCGTAGAGAATAATCTTACACCCAACATTTAATCTTCCTCAAGATTCAATAATTCAAAGATCTAAAATTTAAATCTTCAAGGAATTTGAATTTATCTAGATCTCTATGAAATTTGATTTTTATTTTGATATTCTAGGTAAACGATGTAATATTCTGAGTAAACAATGTAACAATTAAAAATAATAATAACAATAATCTTATCTCTCGGTTTTCAAGATAAACTGAGATATAAGTCGATGTTGGGGTTCGAACCCATGTATATATAACTTTACCTCTCGATTTTAATTCCACTGAGGTGATAAGTGGCAAATTTTTATGTTGTCCTTCATTACCTTACTTTTTTAATTGAGATATTATGCATTTCGCATCCGAGATTAAAAAAAAAACATTTTTTTGTAATAGTGATAATGCCATTTCTTTTATTTGAGCAACACTTAATCAATCTATTTATATTTAATCATTCAAACATTAAAGATATTAACCTAGAACCTAAAGAATTTAACACAAATTATTGAATCTTCGTCGAGTTTATTTGTTGATAAAAACTTATTTTGCACTCAACAATATATTTAAAATAAACAAATTAATAAATAAAAGTTTATTGAATAAATTACACTCACCTTCCTTATAAAGTGTATTAAAATGACATGGATACTCTCTCAAGACTTAAAATAGACACTAACCTCTTCCGAAGTGTATGAAAAAGACACTCACACTCCTACATTTTAGTAACAATAAAACATCTTAAGCATAAATGACATTCACCTACGGTTTTGTCTTTCACTAAAAAATTTCCTTGATATATATAACTCGAAAAGATGCCAAATTTATTTGATATGCAATAACACCATATCCAAACACACTTCATCTTAGTTCATATTTGTTGCTCTTCCTCGACAAGATGAGCATCAATATCTTTTGTAATCTCTGCAACAAGATCCAAGTATAATTCCGGAACCGCACCTGTAATGTCCTCCTTTACTTTCTCATACTCAAAAGTCCATCTCACAAGCGCGCCATATTCCCCATCCATCACTTGCAATGTTCCCTTAAAACTCTTGTAATTCTCACCCACTTCTCCATCAAAGAGACTAAATGTGATTACCCTATTGTCATCGTCTATACCCTCAATTCTTCCTTTCGCACTTTCTTCTTCTTCATCTGCAGGGATTCACAAGTGTTTAAAAGCATAATATATTACCTTAAGACTATGAAACATAAAAAGCTTAATTACCTATTGTGTATTCCCAGTGTATGACAGAACCAACTTTATCCCATTCACCTTCAAGCAATCTAACTCCATGTACTTCAGAAGAAATGTTAGGAATATGTTGAAGTTGCTTCCTACAAATATTATAAAACTTAGCAGCAGATGCTTCACCCTCGTGTTCAGTGAACACTTTTCCACATAAAGCCATTTTCCTGCTCTCTAATGTTTTCTACGAATACTCTATATGTAGTGATAGAAAGTATTCATATAGGATTCGACATTAATTTATAAAACTTTAATATGTTTATTAGTTGGACAAAAAAAAACAGCTGTATGTAGAAGTTGACATTTCTAGATTGGTGTCATGGAATAACTGTTAGCACGTTCCAACCATACTTCGAATACATGCCACCTGTTCCTCTCAGTCTATTCAAAAATGATTTTTGCACACTCATAGGTTTTAAATATTTTGTCTCTGAGCCTAAGTCAGCTGGAAAATATTGAGACA